CAAGGCAATTTTCGTCCTTCGAGATTCCTTTGGGATTCCTTTGTTACTAAGTTACTTCACTTGTGTATTACGACGATTCTTTGTGCCTTCTTGGCGAAGTATTTCCCATCTTTGTGCAAGCAATGTTTCTTGATATTATCCAAGAATTTCTCCACGGCTTCTTGACTGCTATTTGAACGAAAATTTATCTTGAATGTTAGAAAATCAAGAAATAGGTTGCCTTGTTCAGAGCTTGCGTCGAAAACCTCAGAGATATCATAATAATGCTCTTCAAGGTGTTCTGCAAACTTCCAGGAATTTTTCTGGAGGACTAAGGAGATGTTTTCATTGACCAGGGCATACTTTGACTGATCTAAAGTTTTTTCCTCACTCTCAAGCAATACCATTATGTCACTTAAGTCAGCTATGCAAATCACCAACATCCCTTTTTCTCTCAATTCTGTATTGTAACAGTGGACCAACGCCTCCTCCACGTCTATAAAGTACAAGCAATGAATAAAGTGTGCTATATCAAACTTATCATCACCTTTCGGCTCGACTGCGTAGTCTTCAAATGTTCTCGGTGGATCGAGGTCGAAGGCTACTTCTTCACTCTTGAATTCTTCTTTTTGGCTTTCAACTGCAGCTTTGTAGATGTCCATGGCGTTTTCGTTAGGTTCTATAGCTCGGTTAAACATTTTGATTGGTCCAACCGCCCCTTGCAGCTCTTTTAAACTTGTAAAACTACCTTTAATGATCTTTAGAATTTCTAAATCAGTCTCACCGTTTCCACTTCCAATGCTTAGGATGTTGATTTGGCTCTGTTTCTTGAGGTCGTAGCCAATGGCGGCGATTGCTGATGGTAAAATGTCGTTTAGAAGCTCATAGAGGTTTTCGTTTTGTCTAGTTTTGTCGATGAAGAATTTGAGCCGACGTCGATACTCGGYTTCACTGTTCTTCCAGTGCAGGTTCGCCATGACTGTCTTGAATAATGTCTGCGAGTCTTGAATTTCTGCTTTGTCTTACACGAAGCTGTGTCACACTAACAGGGAACATCCAGGCCTCCTCCCCAGGGAACTCTTTTTTCCTCCTTTGGGCCTCCTTTGTAACGGTCATATCTGGGGTTTATTTTGGCTAAGATATGATATTAAGAATGTAAATGAAACTTGAGAAAGACAGCAGGATATTACATAAAAGATAAAAATTAGATTAAAATATATATTTMTTAATTTTTCTCCAAAATAGCCGAACTTACGGTCTAATAAGAGCGTCTAGTTCAAAATATCCAAACTCTCTTGAGACTAAAATAAACTTGACCTAAAAGGTCATGTAATTAATACCAGCAGTCCTTGCTTTCACTGATAAA